CCTTCCTTCCTTCCTTCCTTCCTTCCTTCCTTCCTTCCCTCCTTCCTTCCTTCCTTCCTTCCTTCCTTCGCAGTTAGCAATAGCACTTAGACTTATATACCGCTTCACAGTGCTTTCCAGCCCTCTTTAACTGATTTACAGAGTCAGCCTCTTCCCCCCGCCCCCAAACAATCTGGGTCCTCATTTTATTGATCTCAGAAGGACGGAAGGCTGAGTCAACCTTGAGCCTGGTGAGATTTGAACTCCAAACTGTGGCAGAATCAGCCTGCAATGCTGCCCTGCAACCCCTGAGTACTTTTATGAGCCTGGCTGGGCTTCCTCATATACAGGGGGGGGGGGGGGGGGGGGGGCCTGGCCCAAGAAGGAAGAGGAGGGTATCAGTTTACATTAGTCCTGGATTATGACCAGAACTGAGCCCAACATTTATGTTGTGAGACATTTGTTAAGCAAGTTTTGCCCCATTTTACAACCTTTCTTGCCACGGCTGTTAAGTGAATCTTGCAATTGTTAACTTGGTAACATGGTTGTTAAGTGAATCCGCCTTCCCCCTTGAGTTTGCTTGTCAGAAGGTGGCAAAGGGGGAATCACGTGACCCTGGGACACTGTGACCGTCAGAAATGTGAGACAGTAGCCAAATGGTCCAAATTTTGATCATGTGACCACAAGGAAGCTGCAACAGTCATAACTTCAAGACCCGGTCGTAAGTCAATTTTTTCAGTGCTGTTGTTTGCTAGGGCCTGGTTTTGCCAAAAACTGGAAGCAAATGCTCAAATGCTCAGCAAAACCGTCATAAAATGAGTCCCCATGGCTTCATGATGTTGCGGGGGGATGTAACTGCAAGAGGTTTGCTGAATGCCTGACATGTGAACGGGTGGCCATGGGGGAGGGAGGGGGAGGATGCAGTGGTGACATTAATTTTCTTTTACTACTGGTTCTGGGGACGTGGCTTAGTGGGCGTGGCTTGGTGGGCGTGGCAGGGGAAGGATACTGCAAAATCTCCACTCCCTCCCTACTCTGGGGCCAGCCAGTGGTAGCATTTGCTGGCTCTCCAAACTACTCAAAATTTCCGCTACCATTTCTCCAGAACCTGCTGGATTTCACCCCCGGGTGGATGGTTGCCAGTATTTCAAATCCAGGTGGTCCCTTCAGGTAGTCTGTCGTAACTTCAAACAGCTGCCAAGCAACTGGTCCTAAGGTGAGTCCTAAGTATCTGCAATTGTCCCAGGGCCCCAACCTCAAGACCCGAGAAGGATGAGGAGGCACCAACGTCGCAACGATACGGACGTGCGGTCTCGATGCACCGAGACTGCAGCTGATACTTTTGCTGCTAAGCGGTCCAATAGGATCTAAACCATCCCACAGAGATGGTGAACAGGAAGGATATGTCTTGCTGATCCCAGGGACATCGCAAAGTCCCTGATCGATGCAAGATAAGTTCTTCAAAACAAAAAATCCAGCGAAGGCTGACGAAGTCGGGGCAGCTCCAAAACAGAAGGATACGGAAAGAGAAAGTGTTTCCAGNGCGTGGTTCTGATTCTGTGCCTCTGTTTATACAACCAAGGATTCTGTCAGCTTTTTCGGCTGGCTCCCGTTGAAGGGATCGTCCACTAAGACTCCAAGGCCCCCCTTGCAGTTCCTGTTCCTGAGCCAGGGTTCACGTAACTGTACTTGTGCCTTTGGCATTTCCCTGCTTCAGGGCAGAACCTGACTTTTCTCCACCTTCAATTGCATCGTGTTGGGTGGGGCCCCTTGTTCAGGCCTGTCAAGATCTTTCCGGATCCTGAGCTTGCCTTCCGGGGTGTCGGCTGTTCCTGCCAGCTTAGGGGCATCTGCAGACTTGATGAGTTCCCCTTCTATCCCCTCATCTAAGTCATTTACGAAGATATGTTCATAATCCCTGGTGTTTTCAGCAAGATACGTTGAAGATCAGAGATGTCCACTCTTGGCAATTTTAAGACCTGTGGACTTCAACTCCCAGAATTCCCCTGTGAACTGTGCTTAAAATCACCCAGCCACGTAAGGCTTAAAACCAGCATGGAATTGGGCATCAGAGGGATTTTATAGGCCTCCTAATCTGGATTGCTCTTGAGGCTGCCTCTTTGCCACCCACCAGATGCCTCTGAGCATACAGGCTGGGGATGATGGGAAGCCTGATTTAAGTGGGAGAGCTTTAGAGGAGGGAAAACAGCCTCCTTGCTAGAGGCGGAAACCATCTCAAGGGGTCAAGCCCCACAGCTGGGGGAGAGTCTTCTACACCAGCAAAGCCCACGAACGGAATGCGAAGCGTCACCCACCCCAAGCAGCCCCCCCCTCTGTTTCCTGGAGGCACCCAGCAAACTCCCTCTGGAGGCTGGAGTGTCTTCCTCTCATTTTACAACTCCTGCGCCGTGTGCGAGAGTCTGCCAGCCTTTGAAGACGGTTTGACGGCTGGTGGATAATGAGCTGCCTGGGATGTTGGCGCTGCCGGCTCCGTGCTCCTCCCGGGAGGATGCGGTTGCTAAGCGAGGGAGAGGAAGGCTCCGCATGACATCATCCAGGATTGGCAAGACACATCCCAGCAAGAGGGCTCTGCGTGGCTCACTGGGGGCTCCAATTCAGCTGCACCCATAGAAACAGCCAAAATCTGAGGGCTCCAAGCCAGCAGGAGGAAGGGTGACTTCTCCTCACCACCTGTATAGGAATAGCCCTTAGACTTCTATGCTACGTCATGGTCTCTTAAAGCCCCCTCTAAGCGGTTTACAGAGTCAGCCTCTTGCCCCCAACCATCTGGCTCCTCTTTTTACAGACCTCGGAAGGATGGAAGAGTGAGTCAATCTTGAGCCGGTCAGGATCAAACTCCTGGCAGTTGGCAGAGTCTGCCTGCAATGCTGCATTCTAAGCACTGTGCCATTACAACTTCCTTCCTTCCTTCCTTCCTTCCTTCCTTCCTTCCTTCCTTCCTTC